AGAGAGAGAGAGAGAGAGAGAGAGAGAGAGAGAGAGAGAGAGAGAGAGAGAAAATAGATGTCACCAAGAAGTCAACCAGTAACAAATGCTGGAGCAGCTGTGGAAAAAAAGAAACCCTTCTCCACTGTTGGTGAGAGTGTAGACTGGTACAACCACCATGGAAATTAGTGTGGAGATTCTTCAAGAAGCTAGGAATGGTGGCCTCATTCAATCCAAATAGTCTCCTTTTGGGCGCTTTTCCAGAAGAACGAAAAACATCATACCATAGCAATATATGTGCACCCATGTTTATAGCAGTGCAATTTATCATAGCTAAATCTTGGAAACAACCCAAATGTCCAACAATCAAGAAATTGATATAAAAGATGTGATATTATTATGCAATGGAGTATTATTCAGCTATAAAGAAAGATAAACTAGATTTTGTAGGCAAATGGATGCAACTAGAGATCATACTCATAAATGAAATAAATCAGACCCACATGTGTAAATATTGTATTGTCACCCTAGTGTAAGAACCTGAAAGAGTAAATAAACCCCAAAAGGCACAACAGATATTGTGAAAAGGAAAGAAACTGCTCAAAAAAAAAAAAAAAATTCCCTATTGTGATGGGGAAAGGAGAAAAGAAAAGAAAAAAAAGAAAGAAAGAAAGAAAGAAAGAAAGAAAGAAAGAAAGAAGAGCTAAGATAATTGTGCTGTCTACTGGCTTATTTTAAGGAACAGTTAGTGCTTGTATGGTTTGATCAATTTACATGCCTGTACTTTGAGGATAACAATATGCAACATAACAACCATTGCTAGTTTCTTATCTTCTTTTGAAATTCTGTATCCTTCTTGTTTTTTATTCATCTTAAAACTTAAAAAGTAAATTAAAAATATACAAAAAGTAAAATAAAATAAAAAATACGAAGGAAAGAGTAAGTGTGAGGTAGCGTGTGACGCCAAACTGAATTAGAGGACCCCGCGTCGCCCTCCCCCTAAGCCAGGGTGACTGTGCTCACTGCCAGCAGCACAGGCTGCAGAGAGGTGGCTTCCCTAAACTTGCCCTCAGTTTGACCGCGGTCTGGCCGAGGCTGTGTTCGTGTCCTCGTGGAGTCAGGCTGGCGTGTGCTGGACTAGCGTCCTCCTCACCGACGGCCACTGTGGAGCCGGAGAAGCAGGCTGGCAGAGCACGGGGGTAGGGCAGGAGACGGCGGCTCCACCGAGGCCCGAGTGACTCCAGAGATGCCCTTCCCAGCACTGACTGCCAAGCAGTCACTCGCTAAGCACAGCTGAGTCTGGCTGTCTGCTCCTTCTCTGCTACAGCCTCGCCCGGCCGGCACTTGACTGGCCCCTGCAGCAGCGATCCCCTCACCAATTTCCTCAACCCGACTCTGACCGATGGATGCCGAGGTTCGGGCTGCCTCGTGGTCTTCACGTCCCCGTGAGCAGCGGGCCAGCCCAGACCCCATCACATGGCCATTCTGCTCTTTCTCTTCGGGTGCACCCTAATGCCTTGCAGGGAAGGGGGCCCCTCATAAGGAAGCAGATGTAAAGGTCTGACCACCCCCAGGTAGGGGCAGTACATTCAAGAGCCTTATGACCGACCTCCCGTCACTTCTCGCCTCTGTTCTCAAAAGAGCTGCAGTGGGCCTTTGAAAATACATGCAACTTGTGACCTTTTTCTGCTAAATCCTTCAGTGGTTTGTTAGACGTGAGGGAACTTAAGGTCCCCAGTGCTTCATCCCCCCCTATATCCATGTCCTTTGCCACAGGTGTCTGCGTTTCCCTCTTCTAAAACCCGGGCACAGCTCTCTGGCCCACGGCTCGGCCCCGCGACGCGCGTCGGCCTGTGGGGGAGGAGCGAGCCACGCACGTGGGCTGAGCTGACCCTTATCCTCCTCTCTCCACCCAGAGGAAGGCGCTTGTACTACTTCGTGTCCTAAGGAGCACAAGGGGCCCAAGAGAGACCTGGACCAACAGTAGCCGGAGCAGGCAAGGCCGAACACCCCACGGAGCTCTTACGGGCTGCGTTACCTGCGGCACACGCAGCAGAGCTCCGCGTTCACAGTGCTCCTTCCCCGGCTCCCCAGGCCCGTGGGAGTAACACAGAGGGGCCGAGAGGATGCCATGCGTGCCGTGGGTGTGCGTGGTACTCAAGGAACCCTGACCTTCAGGATCCATCTCTTCGCGAGCAATAAGCCTGCCTAAGCTTTGCCCCAGCAGGAGCAGTCTGCTCCACCCCAGCGGCAGCCCCTGTCACGCTGACCGCTCTGTCCCTCCTCTCTGCGTGCTCTTCCTTTCTGGAGGCCTTGTGTGTAGCTGCTCCTGTTACCTGGAGCGTTCTTTCTTTCCTCTGCTTAATTCTCCCCATTGTGCAGTCTGACTTTCCCGTAGCTCTTCCTTGGGAGCCCTAAGGAGGTCCTCCTAAGGGCTGTCAAACACTTGCCAGTTGTGTTTCCTGGCTCCTGTCACATTTGCCATCTTAGACTTGTGTGTGCGCTTACTTCATTGAGCTATATCTGTGTAGACAGCAAACACCATGAGGGCAGGCACTGTCCTATGCTGGCTCAAATCATCAGTGTATATCTGGGAGGGAAACGGGTTCTGGAGTAAGAAAGGGTTTCAGACCATTTGATCCTCTACATGATCCCAGCGAGCAGCTGCTAAGGTAAAGACGCCAGGGAGGAGAGAGAGGCGGGGGAGAGGTTCATCTCCAAGCTCGGCGCAGACTACCAGACAGGAATTTGCCGGCCCGCATACTCACATGCCATAGATGCGTGGATCTCCGAGATAGCACAAATGGATGGACCACGGGATTCGCATTAAGGATAACAGGATCTCCAAGCAGGGAAGCATAAGGTGACAGCGACACTCTGATTGTGGCCACCTGCGTGTGCTCAGAGGCATTTTCCAGAACAGGGCTGGCATTCTCAACGACGAAATTGAGAAAAGCTAGGCTGCCTTAGAAGAAACACAAACACTTGTTTTTCTAAGCACCACAAAATAAAAGCACAATAAATGTGTCATTTGTTTGCACCAAAAGTCTTAGAAATCAGACACAGTGGCTCAGTAAGCCCACCAAAGATCTAAGAACTTATTCTACGCTCAAGCTAACAAGCTAGGCTGCCCTAATTTCAAGGACACAGGCAGAAAACACGTGAGCTGTGCATGCGGGACAAGGACTTCTCACTGATAGAGCTACTATGAGGCCACGCTCACATCCCTTCCGCTTGTCCCAAAGTTCCACGAGACCAAGCACAAAGCCCAGACAGATGCAAGGCATGCTCTGGATTTGCCTTTTGTTTCGATTTGTCTTTTTGAGACAGGGTCTTACTGTGCAGTTCAGGCTGGCCTTGGGTTCACTTTATAGGCCCAGCCAGGCTCTCTACCGAAGAGCAGTTCAGCCTACACAAAGAACAAGCTCTAGTGCCAAGAAATTAGTGACCCCAGACACAGCCCAGTGGCCCCAGCAGTGCTGGTTAAACATTGCGACTCCTTGACCTTTCATTTGGGGTCACTCGAGAGAAGCTCCCACCCTGGGCTCAAGGTGGTGGAAGGTTAGCATGACTCAATTTCTCACTTCCTATCCCCCTACTGCGGTTTCCTGGACTCGCGTTCCCAGTAAATGACTTCCTCTTGAACCCTTCTCTTGGGGTTGCCTCAGGAGAATACAGACTGAGGGAGTGTAACAGGATCACAGTTTGCAGGACGCAACAAAACATAAAGAATATCGCCAAGTCCAGCGCGAGAAGGGCACCAGGGACTCAAGCAGCTCCGCCAGCTCAGAGCAACACCGGTGCAGGAATGGCCTCCGGCCCTGCCAGACCCCGCCCGCCGCTGCTCGGGCCTCTCTCCGCACTCGGCTTTGCCAGCGCCCTGCTCTCCCTGTCTCTGCTCAGCATCTAGTGCTCATACAGCACCTGCCACTTCCCAAAACGCAGCATCCTTAAGATGTCCCTTGGGCGTCTCTTCCTTCAGAAAACCTTCCCAGCACCGTCTGGATCCACTTAGAGTCCACTTCCCAAGGCTCCCGTGTCCCCACAGCATGACATCTGACACACCAGATGGTGTCAGCCTCTCATTTGTTTGACTCACGTGCGCTCTAACTGCAAGGAAGGTGCTTATTTTAATACCTGAATAAGAGTGCTCACTACATACTTGTTGAATAAATAATGAATGATGATGGTGGCATTATAGGACATCCATTCACAGAGACGTTTTCATGTAACCCTCACGTTACCTATGGGATAGGGGTGCTGCTGTCCCCCCCCCCCCCCCGCACACCTGAGAGAAGCCACAGCACACAAATGCGGTGGCTCATGGTGCACAGCTGGTCAGTGTAGGGTCAGGATTTGAACCCAAACCCGCTGGCTCCATTCCACGTGTTCTTAATTGATTCCAAAGACATCATGGTTCATAGCAGATTTCTTTGGCATGGGAAGTGGAAACAGCAAAGTCCCCCGAACGTGAAAACTAGAAAGGCCCCTTCCACACTGATAGCAGTCGCCCTGCAGACAAAGAAGAGGAGCCTTTGGAATCAAAGGCTGGGCTCGGCTCCGGGTTCCACTTGCAATACCTACATGAGTACTTGAGCAAAGAGCTCCTCCTCTCTGAAGTTAGGAATCAGCCCACTTTGGTGAGAGCCCCTGGGGCTAAGCCAGGCCTGCCTCTTCCTAGAGGCCCAGAGACCCCGGCACAGATGCAGCACCACGTACTACGTCCTCGAGTGGGGGACATATATGCGATCAGAACATAGTGATTTTTAAAATTTATTACAGTAAAAGCTATATTGCTTTTTCTTTCTTTGTATTTTTTTTAGGGGGGGAGATCTACAGGATGTTCAGGGTCTCACTACTATATCAAACTCAGTGATCTGCCTGTTTACAGCCTCCCAAGAGCTGAGATTACAGGCGTGTGCCACCACACCCAGTCTCACTTACCATCTCAGCTCTTCCCAGGGGCGGGGCCAGCACAGCAGGCTCTGGGATCGAACCCCTGGCCCCGCGTGCCTGCTTACAGGCGCTTTAATCCACTGAGCTATTTGGCTGGCCTTTATATTGCTTTTAATCACTCTCACATACCCCCTCCAGCATCAAATACACTCAGTCCATCGTTCTTGCCATTTTCTAAAAGTCCTCTTTCACGAATGTGTTTGGTTGTGCTATTGTGCCCGTCTTGATGCCTTGAATCAGTTTAAATCTCCTGCCTTTTATGGCCCTCCTGACTTCAGGGAAGAGCCAGAGGGTGCTCGCTACAGATGGTGGTCTGTAGCTGTCTGCACTCCTGGGGTGCTCCACAGCAGCCCAACTTTTTATTGCACCTCATAAAGATGTTCACGAAAGGCAACTTCCAAAACTGCTTCAGAAAGCTGTGAGGAGAGAGGGGTAAGTGTGGTCCAAGTGAGGGTGAGTGTTTGGCAAGATCCATGGCAAATGTCTCTTAGTATAATACAATTTTTTAATTTAAGCATTCATTGTGTGTTTGATCCCACCGCGTACACTGCCTGCAGTCTTTGCTGTTGCAGATACCCCCACACACATCCTGTCTCACTGTGCATGTCTGTAGGGGGCTTCCAGAGGCGCATGCTGGGCCTGAGTCTGCAAAGGGCAGATCCTGGGAGAAGCGGCCATCTGCCCTCAGAAAGCCTGCCCGCTCCTGTCATTGTAACTTAGGAAACAACTTACCAGCAGTGAGGTACTTCCGTGGAGAGCCTGACCACTTCAAGGGCCAACATTGTGAACAAAATAATAACAGGTAAACTGGCCGACCACTAAATCAACATTGCAACGCTACATGACTTGACTCCTTGCTGGAAACACTCACCTGGGGCAGCAGCCAACAGGAAACCCAGGAGGATCACACTCATGGTCGCCTGAGAGCCACCCTCTGTGGAGCCACTTTCCACCAGGGCCTGCCCGCGCAGCTTCTCAGGAGTGCGCAGACCTGGTGAGGCTGTTCTCAGGAGAAGCCTCGCGTTGCTAGGCATGGAGCACACCCTCCCCTCTGGCACACTTCCTGCTGAGAAATCTGTAAAGCGATATCTTTTCTCTGCAGGGTCAAAGACCCAGCAAAGGGAGGGGCTTGAGCCAGTGACCAGGGACCCGGGTCTTACTGCCAGTTGCAGTTCTCCCAGATCCTCATGCCTTCAGGACCTGGCCAGCTTGGGAGACTCATGTTCAATGGCTGCAGTGGCCAGGGGTACAGGGTCCTGCCCTGCTCTATGCATTTACCACACCCAGGTGTGGAGTCAAAACCCAAAGTCTCGGTTTACCACCCTCAAAGAGGGCCAGCAGGTTGCTAGGGGAGGGTGGTGTGCAGCACATTAGCAACAAGACCCAGATGCTGTCTTGTAATTGGCCCTGAGCCACCTGGAGGTTAGTCTTTTAAGTTAGAACTTGGAGTTGGGGGTCAGCTTTAGCATCCCAGATGGGAAGGATCTGGCTGTGAGGGGAGTTAACATGAAATGCCTCTGGAGGGGGCGGGGAGATAGCTTAGTAGAATAAGCATTTGCCTGGCAAGCACAGGGTCCAGAGTTCAATCCCCAGTCCCACAAAAAAGAAGAAGAAGAAGAAGAAGAAGAAGAAGAGGAAGAGGAAGAGGAAGAGGAAGAGGAAGAGGAAGAGGAAGAGGAAGAGGAAGAAGAAGGAGCAGCAGCAGCATCTGGAGGCAGCAAACTGACAAACCGCCAGCCAGCTCGGGCCTACAAGGCATATTCTTATATACACAAGCAGCGTCTTTAGAAATTGAAGTAAAATAGCACTGATTGGCCCCGTAGTCTACGGTTTGCCAGCTCCCAGCCTGAGGCACCTCACCGCTTCTCATACTTCCCCTCCTTGCTAGGGAGGGGGATTCTTGTTCGCAGTCTGTGATTTAGCATGTCAATCAACTGCTGTCCCCATTAGGAGTTAACTGTTGCTATGGTTACCAAATAGGATTATGCAATCTTGGATGTGCTCAGCAGCAGGATCATGTCGAGAACAAGGAAAACAGTGTTTGGCCACACTTTGCCCTACTCCACTGGAGTTTTAGCTTTCCAGAGGGCATCGAAAATGTCCAGGGAATGGCAGCTAGAGATGGCTCCAAGCCAGGTCGTGCGAGGCCAAGTGCACTTTCAGACACCTCAGGCTAGTGGCCTCACTTCAAGCCCTGCTGAGTGTTCCTTAATTAGATGGCGGCGACCTCCTCTGTGGACTACTACAGGGTCTCACTGCCCAGCCTGTGTCTCCCTCCCTGCTTGTCCCAGATCACGCTGGCTTCCATGTGGCACCCCTGAGCGTCCTGTCTCCGCGTGCCTCCAGCCGCTCCTCAGCCCCACACGTCCTTTCCGCTGGGCCACCCCCCC